ATCAATCGATTTACACTTCATGTAAATCGATTGCTGGCAGAGACAATCAGTTTTTGAAAAAGCATGTGTAAATCGATTTACACAAGATGTTAATCGATTTATAGCAGAGAAAAACTTAGAATTTGTTTTGAAATTTAAGTGAAGTGTTTGTGGCAAGTGTGTATATCATTTTTGAGCATTTCTAATCAATGTAGTTCAAATGAGAATTGATATACTTGATTGCTTGCCATGATCCTTGAAGCTTTGAGTGAATGATGCTTTAAGCTAATTTCCACTTCTTTTCCTTCTTGCCATAGAGCTTGTTTGTCTTTCATCAAACTAGCTTGTTTGTCTTTCATCAAAACTAAAGTTGAGTTGAGGCTTGAGATTACAAATGTTATCAATTTTATTAAAAGACTAAAAAATATTTTACTTTTATAGGAATTAAATTAATTCTTATATTTTTTTATCAAATTATTTAATAATTGATTAATTTTATTATTTTAGATATTGAATAAGCTCTCATAGTTATTTTAGCGAATTATTTGAAAATTGATTAATTAAAAAAAAAAACAAGATTGATCAATTTTAATTTATTATAATAGTGTAATTATGATTTTAAAGAAAACGAAATTTCAATTTTGGTGTTTTGATTCACATATATTTTTTTGTCTTTGTGAGAAGTTCAACTTGTGACTTTCTATAGAGAATAAATATTATAGTGAATTATAAATAATTGTTGAAAATTTATATTTTAATTTTGTAATATATATTTGCAATTATAATTCAAAATAATATTTTAAAAATAAATTGAGACATTTGTTTTTCCATTTGAAAATTATAAGTTAAATTTAAAAGAATTGTTAGATAACATTTAAGATATTGATATGAGGTTTAATATTTGAAGATAAAATTGGAACATATATTCGCACTTATAACTAAGAATAATATTTTAAAAAGAATATATATTTTTTAAATATTGATAGGCAATATATATATATATATATATATATATATATATATAAAAATAATGATTAATATAAGAAAAATATAATAAGTTATATTCTTATCATTTTTTCTACGTAATCGATTGTCTCTTTTGTTGTGAGCGATAATGCTATCACTTTTATTAAGAGATTAAAAATATTTTCATTTTTATAGAAATTAAATTAATTCTTATAATTTTTTATTGAATTATTTAATAATTTGTATTTAAAGAAAATAAAATTGATCAATTTTAATTTATTATAATAGTTTTTATAATTTTAAAGAAAATAAAATTTCAATTTTAGTGTTTTGATTCACATATATTTTTGTTTTTGTGAGGAGTTGAACTTGTGACTTCTAAAAAATTAAATTTTTTTTTTGTCTTTTCAAAGAGTTGAACTCGTGACCTCTAATAAAGAATAATTATTATATTTAATCTTTTAAAAATAAGTTAAGAGACTTCATATTTTTATATAACTGTTTCAAATTTAATATATTATATAGAAGGTCGGACAACTGTAGTAGTAATAATAATAATAATAATAATAATAACAATAATAATAATAATAATAATAATAATAATAATAATAATAATAATAATAATAATAATAATAACAACAACAACAACAACAACAACAACAACAACAACAACAACAACAACAACAACAACAACAACAACAACAACAACAACAACAACAACAACAACAACAACAACAACAACAACAACAACAACAACAACAACAACAACAACAACAACAACAACAACAACAACAACAACAACAACAACAACAACAACAACAACAACAACAACAACAACAACAACAACAACAACAACAACAACAACAACAACAACAACAACAACAACAACAACAACAACAACAACAACAACAACAACAACAACAACAACAACAACAACAACAACAACAACAACAACAACAACAACAACAACAACAACAACAACAACAACAACAACAACAACAACAACAACAACAACAACAACAACAACAACAACAACAACAACAACAACAACAACAACAACAACAACAACAACAACAACAACAACAACAACAACAACAACAACAACAACAACAACAACAACAACAACAACAACAACAACAACAACAACAACAACAACAACAACAACAACAACAACAACAACAACAACAACAACAACAACAACAACAACAACAACAACAACAACAACAACAACAACAACAACAACAACAACAACAACAACAACAACAACAACAACAACAACAACAACAACAACAACAACAACAACAACAACAACAACAACAACAACAACAACAACAACAACAACAACAACAACAACAACAACAACAACAACAACAACAACAACAACAACAACAACAACAACAACAACAACAACAACAACAACAACAACAACAACAACAACAACAACAACAACAACAACAACAACAACAACAACAACAACAACAACAACAACAACAACAACAACAACAACAACAACAACAACAACAACAACAACAACAACAACAACAACAACAACAACAACAACAACAACAACAACAACAACAACAACAACAACAACAACAACAACAACAACAACAACAACAACAACAACAACAACAACAACAACAACAACAACAACAACAACAACAACAACAACAACAACAACAACAACAACAACAACAACAACAACAACAACAACAACAACAACAACAACAACAACAACAACAACAACAACAACAACAACAACAACAACAACAACAACAACAACAACAACAACAACAACAACAACAACAACAACAACAACAACAACAACAACAACAACAACAACAACAACAACAACAACAACAACAACAACAACAACAACAACAACAACAACAACAACAACAACAACAACAACAACAACAACAACAACAACAACAACAACAACAACAACAACAACAACAACAACAACAACAACAACAACAACAACAACAACAACAACAACAACAACAACAACAACAACAACAACAACAACAACAACAACAACAACAACAACAACAACAACAACAACAACAACAACAACAACAACAACAACAACAACAACAACAACAACAACAACAACAACAACAACAACAACAACAACAACAACAACAACAACAACAACAACAACAACAACAACAACAACAACAACAACAACAACAACAACAACAACAACAACAACAACAACAACAACAACAACAACAACAACAACAACAACAACAACAACAACAACAACAACAACAACAACAACAACAACAACAACAACAACAACAACAACAACAACAACAACAACAACAACAACAACAACAACAACAACAACAACAACAACAACAACAACAACAACAACAACAACAACAACAACAACAACAACAACAACAACAACAACAACAACAACAACAACAACAACAACAACAACAACAACAACAACAACAACAACAACAACAACAACAACAACAACAACAACAACAACAACAACAACAACAACAACAACAACAACAACAACAACAACAACAACAACAACAACAACAACAACAACAACAACAACAACAACAACAACAACAACAACAACAACAACAACAACAACAACAACAACAACAACAACAACAACAACAACAACAACAACAACAACAACAACAACAACAACAACAACAACAACAACAACAACAACAACAACAACAACAACAACAACAACAACAACAACAACAACAACAACAACAACAACAACAACAACAACAACAACAACAACAACAACAACAACAACAACAACAACAACAACAACAACAACAACAACAACAACAACAACAACAACAACAACAACAACAACAACAACAACAACAACAAACAATAACAATAATAATAATAATAATAATAATAATAATAATAATAATAATAATAATAATAATAATAATAATAATAATAATAATAATAATAATAATAATAATAATAATAATAATAATAATAATAATAATAATAATAATAATAATAATAATAATAATAATAATAATAATAATAATAATAATAATAATAATAATAATAATAATAATAATAATAATAATAATAATAATAATAATAATAATAATAATAATAATAATAATAATAATAATAATAATAATAATAATAATAATAATAATAATAATAATAATAATAATAATAATAATAATAATAATAATAATAATAATAATAATAATAATAATAATAATAATAATAATAATAATAATAATAATAATAATAATAATAATAATAATAATAATAATAATAATAATAATAATAATAATAATAATAATAATAATAATAATAATAATAATAATAATAATAATAATAATAATAATAATAATAATAATAATAATAATAATAATAATAATAATAATAATAATAATAATAATAATAATAATAATAATAATAATAATAATAATAATAATAATAATAATAATAATAATAATAATAATAATAATAATAATAATAATAATAATAATAATAATAATAATAATAATAATAATAATAATAATAATAATAATAATAATAATAATAATAATAATAATAATAATAATAATAATAATAATAATAATAATAATAATAATAATAATAATAATAATAATAATAATAATAATAATAATAATAATAATAATAATAATAATAATAATAATAATAATAATAATAATAATAATAATAATAATAATAATAATAATAATAATAATAATAATAATAATAATGGTATTTTATTTTTTTTAAAAATACTATCAATTTGATTCTCTTTATATTCGGTTACCCTTTAATCATATTCAACTTACACTTCAAATATTTATAAGTGTAAACACGTGCTATGCTATGATCACTTTAGTTACAAAATGCATGAGGTATGGTAAACCAACTCATTCATGTGATACTTATCATGCCAACAGAGCCTTGCATCAACCTAACATTAACACTCCAAATATATATATTAATTATCTCTTCTTCGACTGTTAAATATACAATATTATTTTCCCCAATAACAACATATATTAATAAAAGTTCATTAGAGAATGGAGAGTCCAAAACAGAATAATGTCAGCTTCTTTCAGATGCCACTTCACTATCCAAGATACACAGAGAAAGACTACCAAGACATGCCTGAATGGAAGCTTGATAGTCTCCTTAAGGAGTATGGTTTGCCTACAAATGGTGATTTGGCTTTCAAAAGAGACTTTGCTATGGGTGCTTTTCTTTGGCCTAAGTTCTCTCTTAACTCAAAGTCTTGATTCAGCCCAACTACTTTACTACCTATATATATATATATATAATGCAATAAGATGTTTTGATTCAATACTTATGTAGTTTATATAAATGTAACTTACTTTGAACTAATGTATAATGTTACTTATGAGTTCTATATATACACTTTAGTTTCTTTCAACCCTCACTCAACTATGTAAGTTTTTCAAATATGAAGAGTTGATATAGCGTTGAAGGCTTGGATACAATGAGTAGACGGTGGAATCGGTTGCAAGATCAGATATCAAGATTCTTACATAGAGATATGTAGCTTTTTCACCCTATCAAAAATAATGTTACTATCGCATTTAGTGTTTGTGTTTTAGAATATCTTATTAAAAAAGTATTGTTTGATAAATCTAACTCAAGGGGTTCAACTTTTTCCACGATCAACGTCACTCTAGAAATATACATTAAAAGTTACAATGTTTTTATGATAATGAAAGAGACTCATTTTTTGTTTGTATACTTCTAAAATCATATAGAAACATGGGACAGGTAAAGTTAGGCTCAAAAATACCATCATTAAAACATGATCCAACAACTCTCAAAGGGAACATAATGTAGGAAAATATGTAACTAAACTACTATAAGAGTTTACGCTTCAAAGACTATTGGAAATGATTGAATTCGAGGGGTTTGTTAACAAATTAGAATTGGTGGACGTTATTGGAAATAAGTCTGTATGGTTTGTTATTATATATGATTGGCAATATTTTGTAATTAATATTTGAAACAAGATATAACATCAAGTTGTGAGACATTTTGTCGTAAAGTGTGTGTGGAACAAACAACATATTAAGCAAAATATCACACTATATGTGAGACATCTTGTCTCGTTTTGTTTGCTTGGCGCGCCAAATTGGGTGTAGTATTTTTTGCGATTTTGGATATTTATTTTCTTTTATGTCCAATCACATATTTGATTGTTTATGCGCATTTTGGTTTTAGAAAGATTTAATCTAAATCTGTTTTAGCAAGATTTAATTTCATATTTTCAAGAGATTCAAATTTATTTAAGAATTGTTTTAATCAAGATTTACAATCAACATTATGAAGATTGATCATATGTGTATTTTGAGGTTTAGCGGCATTCAAACTAAAATTTTTATTGGTTCTTCTAACTGGACTTTTGTTGCTATTTAAGGAATTGGTATCATTTGTGAAGGCTCAGACCTTGTTTTGTTTTGTAATACTCTATTCTTAAATCATATTTCTAAGTTAGATGAATAGAGTATTTCAGTTGTAGTATTTTTTTCATCATTCATATTCTTTTGTAATTGTCTAAACACTTGGGATAATGTTTGAGTAAAAAGTGAGAAGGATCTTAGATTCAAGAGGAACCTAGATCGAAGTTCTCTGGTAGTATTAGGAAAAGAGACATTGAATTGGGAGAGTTCAAATAAGACTAATTTGTACTTCTGACTATTAAGAGTGAATTTCCTTTCTTTGGGTTAATGCCCCCACAATGTAGGTAACTTTGCATCGAACTGAGTTAACAATTCATGTGTTATTTAATTTATGTATTTGTCCTTCCTATTACACATACTCATTGCCATTCACATTATTCCAACATTGTATCTGGCATCTTGTCATCAGTAGAATAAAATTTCAATTGGTATCATCGAATGAACTATGTTCTAGTTGGGCGAGCTCCAAGGTTATTCTACATTTTATTCAAAATGGACACTGCTAAAGAAGAAGGATATGTGAATCAATCACTTATTCTTGATGGTATAATCTATGAGTACTGGAAGGCTCATATGGTTGTCTTTCTCAAGTATATGGATAGTAAGACTTGGAAAGCAATAATAAATGGATAAAATCCTCTAAAGGTTACAACTGAAGACGACACTGAAACCTTGAAGCATGAAAAGTAATGGTCAAAGGAGGAAGAGAAGAAAAACTTGGTAATTATCGTGCCCATAATTCCATTTATAATGGAGTTGACAAGAATATCTTTAGAATTAATAACACTTATAGCAATGCCAAATATTTTTCAAAAACTCTATAATTTTCTCATGAAGGCACCTCCAAGGTTCGTATGTCAAGACTTCAACTCTTCACAATAAAATTTTAAAATCTAAATAGGAAAAATGATAAAACCATTGGTGAATTTAATGTTCTTCTTCATGATAATGCAAATAACTCTTTTGCACTTTGTGAAAAATATCAGAATAAAAGCTGGCTAGAAAGATTCTCATATCTCTTTCAAAGAGGTTTGATTTGAAAGCCACAACCATTGAGAAAGAATAAGATGTGAGTACTATCAAAGTTGATATTTGATAAGTACTCTTATAACCTTTGAAATGCCTATTAATGACAAATATGAGAAAAAGAACAAGAGTGTGGCATTCAAAGATGATGTTGAAGAAGATGAGGATCATGTAGAAGGTGATATTGATGATAACCTAACTGAATATATGGATTTTCTAGCCAAAATGTTTGGCAAGATCATGAGGATACTTGATAGGAGATCATGGAATAAACAAAATAACGGTAAGGGAATCCATTGTCATGAAAGTGAAAGTGAAAGTGAATGGATCTGAATCATCAGACAACTGCTATATATGGTGTCTGCGAGAAAAGATTTAACATCAATGTTGCATGGTTTCAAAGTCGAATGCAACTAAATTATGTAATTGGAAACTTGTTCATTTAAATCTCATAAGTATGAGGAAGATTTTCTCAAAAAAGGCCATCATTGGTCTTCATAATCTCAAGATTTAATAAGGGAAGATTTTGGAAGAATTTTAGATAGGAAAGTAGACCAAGATATCACACAAGAAGGTTCTACATCTTACCACCTCCAAAATTCTTGAGTTACTTCACATGGATCTCATGAGGCTCAAGAAATTTGAAAGTATTGGAGGAAAGAGATATGTCTTTGTGTATGTTGATGACTTCTAAAGGTACACATGGGTTGATTTTCTTCGGAAAAAATATGATACCTTTAATGTCTTTGAAAGTTTATGTCAAAGTTTTCAACATGATAAGGGAAAAGATATTGGTAATATTGTAAGAGTTCATAGTGATCATGGAAGAAAATTTAAGAACTCAAGATTCTCGTAATTATGTACATTTGAATGTATATCTCATGAGTTTTATTCCCCCATCACCTCTCAACAAAATGGGGTTTTTGAGTATAAGAATCAAACTCTTCAAGAAATCGCTAGGGTCGTGATTCATTCCAAAAATATACCCTATCACTTTTGGGCAGAAACAATGAACATTGCTTGTCATATTAACAATCGTGTAACCATTCGACCAAGCATCAAAGCAATTCATTATGAGTTGTGGAGAGGAAAAAATCCAAGTGTGAGATATTTTCATGTCTTTCGTAGCAAATGTCATATTCTTGCTGATAGAGAGCAAAGACACAAGTTGGATCCTAAAGGTGGTGAAATAATATTATTGGATATTCTACAAATATTAGGGCATGTCGAGTGTTAAATAATCGTACAAGATCTATGGTGGAGTCCATAAATGTTATTGCTAATAACATCTAATACGAAGTTATCAATCATGAAGAGGAGGAGTATAATATTCCTGAGCAGCATGTCACACACGGTGTACCAGACAAAGACAATGACATCCATGTGCCAATTAAAGATGAGAACTATAAAGTTGGAGAAGATAATGCTCCTATAAACAAAGGACCATCTACAAGAGTTCATAAGAATCATCCCATTCAAAACATAATTGGGGATCTAAATGAAAGGGTCATTACCAGGTTCAAAGAGCCTAACAATTACAAATAAGTAATAGATAATATGGGCTTTATATTAAAAAGTGAGCCCAAGAACGTCAAGGAAGCTCTCAAGGATGAATACTGAATAAATGACATGCAATAAGAACTTGGTCAATTCAAAAGGAATAGAGTTTAGGAGTTGGTCCCTAGACCCAACTTTCCCAACATTACAAGTACCAAGTGGATCTATAAAAACAAATTTGGCGGGAATGGAAATGTCACTAGAAACAAGGCGTGTCTAGTGGCTCAAGGTACACCTAAATAGATAATGTATACTTTGATGAAATTTTTCCCCCTGTCACTCTTTTAGAATCTTAAGGTTGTTATTAGGAATATCATGTCTTTTAAAGCTCAGATTGTATCAAATAGATGTGAAAAATTCCTTCCTGAATGGATATATGAATGAAGAAGTTTATGTTGAACAACCTAAATGATTTGTTGATCCTATTCACCACATCATATTTACAAGCTTGAGAATGTTCTCTATGGATTGAAACAAGCTCCCAAACTTTGGTATGAAAGGCTCATAGAGTCTTTTATTAGTAATGGTGATGTTAGAGGTTTAATTGACAAAACTCTGTTTTTTAAGAAGGAATAAGGAAATCTCATAATAGCCCAAATCTATGTGGATCGCATTGTGTTTAGAGGGATATCAAGCAAGATGGTAGGACATTTTGTTAAACAAGTGCAATCTGAATTTGAAATGAGTTTGGTTAGGGAACTTGCATAATTTCTTGGTTTTAAAGTTAAGCAAATTAAATATGACACATTTGTGTCACAAAGCAAGTATGCTAAGAATATTGTAAAGAAGTCTAACCTTGAAAATTCTAGGCATAAACGTACCCATGCAGCCACCCATGTCAACCTTACTAAAGATGATAAATGAGTGGATGTTGATTAAATTTTCTATATAAGTATGTTTAGAAGTCTATTGTATCTCATTATTTGCATCCTGACACCACCTTATATGTCGGTGTTGAAGAAGTGAAAAACACAAGAAGGGAGGTTGAATTGAAAACTTAAAATCAAATGTAATCAAATCCGCAAAGACACAATATTTTTATCCTGGTTTGTTTGATCTCAAACTACTCCAGTCCACCCATGTCAACCTTACTAAAGATGATAAATGAGTGGATGTTGATTAAATTTTCTATATAAGTATGTTTAGAAGTCTATTGTATCTCATTATTTGCATCCTGACACCACCTTATATGTCGGTGTTGAAGAAGTGAAAAA